ATTGTTACAGAGTAATTTTCCTATTTCGGCCTAGGAGAAGGTGATTTCGTCTGGGGTCGACCCTACTTGGTATAAATACATGAAAAAATGTTATTTTCTTGACTTTTGACATATTGGAGACCTAAGGAGGCTAAGTAGGAGTTGGATAAGGAAAAGCACAAGGAGTTCATCTTTCAATCCTCATTCAAGACCCGAGTTTGGATCGTTTTATGTTTTCCTTTACTTTAAACATATTTGTGATGAATTGCTCCATATCTATGGAGTAGTTCCCATTAGGGTTGGATGGATTTGGTGTTTGATATTTGTTTGTGGATTATAACTCTAGTTTTATGTATTCAAGCATTTTGGATGATTTAATTATCGCATCTATATTCACTAGTTCATGTAATCGAGAGAGGCATAACTTGTGATATCTTTGTATTATAATGTTGGTCGAGTTTATTAATTCTTCTTAGTAATCGAAAGAGGCTAGTTGAACATTGATTAAACCTAGTTAGGACGATAATCGAGAGAGGTTCTCCTAAAGACCAAGCCACTATGCATTCTTGCATATCTTCACGTGCTTAAATAGGTTCATCTTGTAAGGTTACAACTTAATCGAGAGAGGAGTTTTTGTTGAACGTTTGAACTAATAATTGAGTGAGTTCGAGAGACTCACTTGAACATTAGGAGTGAATTATCTAGAGTTAGAGCCCAAACAATTATCTTGCACCTATCCTATCAACCCTTATTTTCTCCCATTGATAACTTCCTTGCTTACCTTTGTTGCGATAGTCATTAGTCAATAGATTTAGATTCTTAGTTAATTTTAGTTATTAATCATATAAATCTCAATTGTTGATTCTCCTGGATAGCAATCAAGCTAGAAACTACGAAAATAATATTTAACTCCAATCCTTGTGGATACGATATTATATTATATTATCTTTGACTAGCGAGCATAATTTAAGTGTGGGTTCCGAGCATAATTGAAATGACAAGAAATGACAATCCATAAACTAAGACACAATTTCCGAGAATCAATTAACAATGAAGGCATGTGACAGGCAAGGCATGTATTCAACAAGTAATTGCAATTAACAATTAAAAGCATATAAGGGTGCACGGCAAATGAAAAATAGAACATAGACTAACAACTTCAAGTAAAGCACGTAAGGGCAAACCTAACAACAAAAGATGTAATATGAAACAATAACTTCAATTAAATGCGTGAAAGTAGCCTAATAGTCTAAGCCGGTCAAATACCACATATAAGCCCGTGTACACACTCGACACCTCGTGTATACACATTTCACATAATTCAAATAGTACCATCAATCCAAAACCTAAGGGATAATTTTTTCCACACAAAGTTAGACAAGACACTTACCTCAATTTGGCCAAATCAATACTCAAATTAGCTTTTTCTTCATAAATTCACCTCTGCTCGGCTCAATCTAGCCAAATATGACTTAAATACATCAAACAATGCAAGAGAAAATAATTTTAATTATGCTCGAAACACACACTTAAATTATGTTCGCTAGTCAAAGATAGTATAATATAATATCGTATCCACGGGGATTGGAGTTAAACAGTATTTTCGTAGTTTATATCTTGATTGTTATCCAAGAGAATCAACACTTGAGATATATACGATTAATAACTAAAATTAACTAAGAATCTAAATCTATTGACTAATGACTATCGCAACAAAGGTAAGCAAGGAAGTTATCAATGGGAGAAAATAAGGGTTGATAAGATAGGTACAAGATAATTGTTTGGGCTCTAACTCTAGATAATTCACTCCTAATGTTCAAGTGAGTCTCTCGAACTCACTCAATTATTAGTTCAAACGTTCAACAAAAACTCCTCTCTCGATTAAGTTGTAACCTTACAAGATGAACCTATTTAAGCACGTGAAGATATGCAAGAATGCGTAGTGGCTTGGTCTTTAGGAGAACCTCTCTCGATTATCATCCTAACTAGGTTTAATCAATGTTCAACTAGCCTCTTTCGATTACTAAGAAGAATTAATAAACTCGACCAACATTATAATGCAAAGATATCACAAGTTATGCCTCTCTCGATTACATGAACTAGTGAATATTGATGCAACAATTAAATCATCCAAAAATACTTCAATACATAAAACTAGAGTTATAATTCACAAAAAATTATTAATACACCAAATCCATCAAACCCTAATGGAAACTACTCTATAGATATGGAGCAATGCATCACAAATATGTTTAAAGTAAAGAAAAATATAAAACGATCCAAACTCGGGTCTTGAGTGAGGATTGAATGATGAACTCCTTGTGCTTTTGCTTCTCCAACTCCTCCTTAGCCTCCTTAGGTCTCCAATATGTCAAAAGTTCAGAAAATAATATTTTTCTATGTATTTATACCAAGTAGGGTCGGGCCTAGACAAAATCACCTTTTCCTAGCCGAAATAGAAAAATTACTCTGTAAATATTGCACAGGCGCGCCGCATGGGGCGACACGCCATGTGGGGCATTAGTGGGAAAATCTAGAGAGTTGATTTCTGACAGACAACAGAAAAATGGGCAGCCGCGGTTCCCCAAGCACCGCGGCAGTGGGCTTTTCTCAGAGTACGGAATTTTCCTCGCTTTTTGATATCCAGATGTGGCTTTCGACCCCCGAACGCGATCCCGACTTAATCCCTTGGACTTTTACTCAGACTTCAAAGCTCCAAATAGTTCGAATTCATTATGTAACATCTACATAGCTCGGAATCACTCCTACAAGGTATAAAACACACAATAAGTATAAAACACCATCAATTAAAGCTCAAACATGAATACAGTGCAGTGAATTAGAGTGCAATAAGAGACTAAAATATAAGGTTATAGCCTACAATCACTTGGGGAGCGGGTTGCACGCCGCAACGGTACTAATAATGATAATATGGTGGAATAAGGGAGGATTATGATATTGATTAATGATGATATGGTTGGATCGGGTTACGCGCCGCAACGATTTGTGTATGCATTAATTATTTTTGAAAATGATGATATGGTGGAATAAGGGAGGATTATGATATTGATAAATGATGATACAGTGTGATCGGATTGCGCGCCGCAACGGATTGTATATGTGATACTTGATATTGATTAATGATAATATGGTGAAATAAGGGAGGCCGATTATGATATTGATAAATGATGATACAGTGGGATCGGGTTGCGCGCCGCAACCGATTGTGTGTATTGTACTTGTTGTTGTTGTTGTGTCGTGTGTGAGTAATGGATCCTACGTGAACCATTGTATTACTTCAATGTATCAATCTGTGCTTCCGTGGTTACTTGGTAAATTCATTTTTAAGATGAATTTACTACGCAGAGTCATTATCTCATACCCTATTGAGTTGTTGATAACATAACGGTTTTAAACAAAAGAATTAGGAGTATGCTTACCTTATGTAACTCTTAAGTTAAAACTCGTCGTTTTATTTCATTCGACACTTTACTATTCATAATAGCGGTCATATTTTACTTTAATTGATTTCTCGAATTAAACTCCTCATCCTATCTGACATTTTTATTTTACTTAAAAATCGTTATTACGTTGTATCTTAACAAATTCTAGATTTAATTACTGTGACTTATCTTATACTTTATTTTATTTGAAAAAGATATTTTCCTTACCCGAATAACTTCTAAACTAAAATCATTTGATACCCTATCTTGTATAAATTATACTTTGTTTCACTGTATTTGGTTCCAAAACAGAAACTCATTTTCTCATTGATTTCTTACCTTACTTAAAACTGTTATTATGTTTTATTGTGTATAAATAGATCTCTTGGACACTTCTATTAGCATTTGACACGGATACTATGTACGTGGACTTTGCCATGCGAAAGTGGTTTGGAAAATATGGACACGAGATGTCATATGTGTAAGATTTGAAAGTTGTGACTTATGATTTGGGATTACGAGAAGGGGTACCTCGGGTAATGCTTGTTGTGTTTCGTGCATTAGGAACGATTTGATTGATTGAGTTGCCATCGGTTCTCCTTACTTGAATTCATCTATATTTCATTTGTATTCTAACTATGTTGTTGTTTTATTACCTGGTTGCTACTTGTTGCCATTTGTGCTTCTATTATTTCACTGTTGATTGTAAATTTGTGATCTTCCTGTTGTTGGTCTTACATTGAAGTTCTTTCCATTGTTAGCTTTATATTATATCCTGCACAGGTTTACATGTCTGGTAGGTGTCTTGACCTGGCCTCGTCACTACTCTACCGAGGTTAAACTTGATACTTATTGGGTACCGCTGTGGTGTACTCATGCTACGCTTCTGCACATTTTTTTGCAGATCCAGGTACTTCTGATCTAGTTGGTTTTGAGACTTATGTTTGCGCGGCTGGAGACTTCAAGGCATGCCTACTCGATGTTCGCAGGCCCCGAAGTCACCCTCTGTTGTGTATTATTTTCATTGTTTACTATTATTCCGGGACAGTGATGTACTAGTTATTCCTAGTTATTCTTAGAAAAACTTATGACGTGTACTATCGGTTTTGGAGTTATGTAACTGATATTGGTGCAGCTATGTTGTTAGATATATTATTTAATGTATTGCAACACTCACTACAAGAAAGTTACGATATGGTGACATTTTTTAAACGTCATTTTAAATCACATAAATGTCACAAAATGAATTGCCTACATTTATTTGACACTTGAATCAAATGTCGTAAATTTTAAAGTCGGGAATTTTCCGACATTTACATTAATGTAGGCAAATAAATAGTGACATTTATTTACGACTCTTACAAATGTCACAAATTTTGAGTTTTAACTTATTCTAGTTGCGACATACAAAAAAAAACGGCGGCAAATCATACCCATCCTTGCTACACATACATAAAAACGTCGGGAAATTACCTCCAATTAATCAATAGCTTTTTTTCTTCATTTTAGATCCTAAAAAAAATAATAAATTCTAATCTTATACCATAATCATTCATATAATTTTGATCCCACAAGTCATACACCAGAAAAGAATTTTGTATAAAAACAAAAGAGTCACTTACATACTTTATTTTTAAAAATCTCATAACACCATTAAATAATGTTTCTCAAGCAATACAACATTTTCTCCTAATGCAGCTTTAGAAAAAGCTGAGAATGCTAACTATTAAAAACTCCAATGCAGACTACAAGAACACTGATCACATTGTTGGTCACTTGGTGAGCCTTCATACAAAGCGGAAACTGGAATCTCTATAGCCATACCCTTTTCACAACGGGAAATTTCTCTTTTTGATTCTAATTTTTGCATATCAACTTCTGATGAAAATGAGAAAGAGACCCCTGACAGCAAACTAAAGATAAAGGCGCAAATTAGAAATAAAAAACATAAGGATAAAAAAAAGTTAGCAGGCTACCTCTAAAGAAATTATATCGCAAATGGTATCACATGCAATGTTACAATTTGTGTAGCTTAAGAGCTTCCATCAAAAACGCAAAAAGGAAAAAAATGAGTGAGAAACTTACTAATCGAAAAGGAGGGGAGGGGGAAGGGGGGGAATGAAATTCAAGTTTTCCAGAATAAGCGAGCCACAAATGTGTACCTATTCCATAAAGTTAGAACATGGCAAGTTAAAGATGCTTGAACACATATTTGTTTAGTAAAAACAAATGCAACAACAAGGAAAAATTCTCTTTGTCAAGTTCTGCATGTACACCAAACATTTTTTAATTCTATAGTACTGATGATGGTTATTGAATAACTGGAAATTTAGCTGTCAAGTCAGAGGAGTGTTTGTAGCATGTTTTAGAATTTTCATTTTCAAAAATACATTTCAGAGCTTGTATGATATTCAGCTAATATGCATCATACATTGATAACTTTTCACAAGTGAACCACAAGAATTTTGTTAATCTCATTGAATTGTGAAGGTAATAAACCTTTGACATTGATGAGAACTTCGAGTATGCTCCTAAGGGAACTCTTTTTGAGCATCTGCACGGTAATATTGTTAGTAGTGCATTTCAGTGTTAATCATTCAGGATAGTACTGTCTTGAGTAATGAGTGATGCAAACTAGATTTCACCTATCCTAATTGAAAGAAGATGATCCTTTTGACTGGCCTGCGCGGATGAGAATGATCATCGGAATAAGGTATTCTACCAGACTAAACGATTGTTCTAATATATAAGAATATAATGCAATCTTACCTACCAATATATGGTAATTACTTTTTGGTGTGAGAGCAAGTTTAAGATTTGAATTAAATTTCGTGAAGCCCCCTACTGTTCCAACCATACCTGAGACTTAGGTAACTAATGCTTCAGAAACATAAATATTGAAACGACTTGCTTCATATATTACCAAATTAACTATGAATCTCAATCTCCTACTAATTTAGTATGACAAACTATTTTCACATTGCTTATGTATTTAAAAAAAAGAGGAAAAGAAGCATTCATATCTGAAACCAGAGTTACCTCATGTTTAGCAAGAACTTGACAACATTGATTATCTTTTACATTGGAACTGACCTACAACAAAGCAATCAAGCATGTGAATTTCTTTGGGAGGAAAAACTTAATAATATTCAGCACTCATGGAAAACGAAAGGAAATTGACCTAATTCCTTATTCAAAAACAAAATTAAGTTGGATTTAAAAGCAAAAAATAAATTAAGAAACAAACTTTAACTTCCATTGAGCACTCCAAACTAGTATCTTGCAGAGACATGAAAGTGCTTAATAAAAGTATCCAAAAGATTTCAAGAAATTAAAGTACCAATTTTGCATGAAAAGAACCTTAAAATCGTAAGCATAAGGCATTAGAGGCGGAGAAGAAGCTAACGAGTGGAAACGCACCAGCAGAGGACGAATCGCCAGCGAGAAAGTCACATTAACACACTGAAGAACTCGATTAAAAATCTTAAAATTTATAGTTATTACCCTAGTTGAAAAGAAAAAAAACAAAGGGGAAATCAAGCAGTGAATTTAACAATATAGACTCACAGTTAAAGGGATTCGACGAACTTGTCCTACTGGGTTTCCGTCCAACTGATAATGGTGGTAGGGTTTTCCGGCTTCTTTGCTTGGGTCGACGGGCGACGGCAGGGGACAAAGTAAAGGATGGGGGAAAATTCTAATGGGAATTTTTAGGTTTATTAATTTAATACTATATGATTTGCCAAATGAAAATAAAAGTGGAGAAATTACCACGTTTACTTTTAAGTGGCACTAATTACCGACTTATAATATGATATTAAAGTTAAAAGTCACAATATTCTAGACATTTTTTACTAAACGTCACTTTTTTTATGACATATATTAAAAACTGTCAGGAAAAGTATGCCTTTTATGACATTTATTATAAATGTCATTAAATCGTCATATCTTTTTTTAGTGAGTTAAGTTAGTTAAATTTTATTAATAATATGTGTTAGTATTATTTAGTGTTAAAGAATATATGCCAACACGGCATCTTAAAGTGGTAAATTGGAGTATGGAACTAAGGACGCTCGCAATTCTAGTGCAAATGAGAGAGTTGTCATCAGCAACGAAGGAGTTTGAATTTAACTACTACGAAATGATAAACCATATTAACTTCCAGATTCTATTATCAGAGGGGAGGTTAATTTCGATTCACGTTCCAATTCCTACTCTATTCCTAATAAATGAATATAATGTTAGTCTGATTGATGAAGAAATCCAGTCAACAATATACATCTGCTTCCAACATATTCTCAAATTTGTTTTAGTGTAACAGAAAATCGCTTGCAAATCACATTTACCAAATCTCTAGTCAAAGCAGAGCACATGTTGCCTTTATACTCATGAGTTTTGTGGCTCTCTTTTGCTTTTCGTCCTTTTTTTAAAGGTTAGGGAATCTGTTGACATTATCTTTTCAATAATTTGGCGCAGTCCTTTCCTCTGTCAGCATTTCTCACGTGCAAAAACTTTAAGTTTGAGAATTTGATTTTCGAAAAGTGACCGAATTGTTGGAATATCGTCTAAGCCTCAATAAAGCAAGAGAGTTAGAGTAAGTTGACGGCGTAAAATTAGTTATGATGAATCCTTAAAATATACTTAGAATTCATAATAAAAATTTTGAAAATCGAATTTAGTTTTCAGTAAAGATGTTGAAAATATGATTCTACAAATGTAATTCGAAATGGAACTTTAGAAAAATAAATTAGTTTTCGTTAAGGGAAATGTGTTTTTCTTAAAATAATCTTATTAAAGTTGAATCTTTTCAAAAATAAGAACTGAAATTATAATCTACTATTTCGCAAAACTACAACTGAAATTTTCGTATATTAATTCCATCCCCCCTTACGAGAATATTATAATATCGTACCAGTAAATAAAAAGATAGTATTGGACCAGAAAAAAGTAATAGTGGAAGAATATAAATAACAATTTACATTTAGAAAAAAGAATAACATAAACGAAAGGTATTGCACAAAAAGAATATTTGAACATTATAAAGCGGAGTAAAATATAATTAACTTAAAACCAATGATGAGAGAAGTTTCGGATGAAAGTGATCATAATATTAGAGTTAATGCACTGTTGATAATCGAAATGATTAGATTTTTCCTTTGATACCAAATGAAAACAAAGTTTTGGCTGTTTTAGTTTCGAAAATAATCTGATTTTGGTTTCAAATAGTTAAATTCTATTTTTAAAAGCAAACACATAATATCCAATTTTTTCAAAATTTTAATTTTCAAATCAACGTGCAAAATGTATTTACGTACATGTGAACAGATTTTGATATTTGTGTTTTTCATAAGTAATCTCAGTTGTAGAATGAGTCAACAGTAACACAAGTAGGAAATGGATGGCGTATTTAATTTAATGAACTTAATTATGTGGCTTTATCTAGATTTGCGTCATACAAATGTTCACGTTTTACTTTCTCTTCTTGTCCCTCCTATTTTATTGTGTTTTGGTCAACTTGGTATGCTAAATCTCGATTTGAATAGCAAGCTAATTAGGTTAATTAAGATGAAAGACTTCTTCACGTGAGTCAATTTAAAGTTGATGATCATTTATTGTCGTTCACAACTCTTCTTCCGTTTTGTTTGTTCATTATTAAAAAAAATTAGGTATGGGGATGGGGGAATTATCTTTATTAAAATAGAGGAAAATGTTTAAGTTAACATCTTGGAGATTGATGTAGTACCACGTGTATTTCGTTCGATAATAATACATATTAGGATAGTACTTAAGGAGGCACAGATCCACTTAATATGCCAGCTATGGAAGGAAAACAAGAATTGAGGCACGACGATTACGAACAAGAGAAAATATTAGATTGACTTATATATTTGCACTGTATCTTTCTTTCTTCTTTATATTTTTTCTATTTTGCCTTCATACAAAATAATAAAATTATAACATTCAAATTAATCACGAAAGAAAGCATACATTAGATGTGTAAAATGCGATGAACTCAAGTTTGTGCGTCTTTTTTTTTCCTTTTTTTTTGTCCTTTTATTAAAGGTAAGCAACATTGTATACGATCGAAACTGATTTCGGCCTTCGTACGTCTGATCAAGATGAGAACATAATGGACCGAAAAAAGTCTTCATAATATCGAGATGGGATCCGAAGAAGGCACAAACGAGCTTCAAATTTCAGGTACAGGTCAAAGACCGAGCTCGAAGTCATTATCGAGCTCGGGTCCGAATCGAACTATGATGAGATGTGATGGAATTGAGCTTAAGGGTCAGAGGCCAACCAATACCGAGCCCAAGTCATTACCGGACCCCGAGTCAGCATCTATCTCAAACCCGCATCGAGCTCTAAAACTGAAAACTGACCAATATCGATTCCGATCCAGATCGAGCTCATAGACAAGAGCTGTTGCAGTCGCACTAAAGGAGAGAATCTCGGTGGGAATTAGGGAAAAACTGATTTATCATGGGTTCCCCACTATGTATTTTTAATTATATTTAAAGTAGGATCCCCCATTATGACCAAGTTTGGCATACATTGTAACTGAGATATCATACACTCACATATTGAAGAGTTATCCTTTTTTAGCTTCATAAATTGATTCATTTTGCTTAATCCATAAATCATCTTCTTTCCAACTTTGCTTATTTTTCATTCTCTACAGTCAACACTCGATATTTCTATTCATTCTTACAATTTGTGTCAAGTTATACCACATATCCTTAGAACTACGTACAAATTTAACTCTATCCATTTTCAGGTAAACAATCATATCGACCCATTCACGAGCATAGGCGCATATATAGTTGCATAAAAACTGCACCTTACAAACATTTGGTTCGTCAAATTTTTTAATCGCCATGTCATTAGACTAGTTGACTTTGCATACTCATCTATTTGACCTCCATTCAACTCTCTTTTGGGGGGAGAAAAGAGAAAGAGAACTAAGAAACCTATTGTTATATGTTCATTTGCCTTAAAATGTGACCAAGATATATATAGAGTTTAATTGCTTGTTTACTTAAGATTTCATAGGAAAAACAAATGATACAGGTCCAATTCGCCTGTCCATTTAATATTATGAAGTCTGGCAAGTATTAATGATCATCTGATCAGTAAATTCAATTATTAATTACGTCAGTATTAATTAGACTGCAAATAACCAATATTTAAGAAGATGCATGAATCATGATCAAATCGTGGTCATTAATTTACTATTTGTGTTTTCCCGTAATTTATCTAACTTGTTGAACGAGTCTACAATAAGATAACTAGGAAGTAGTATAACATTGTTGACGAACTTAGTTAGTTATCCGACTTTTCTAGCTTTGCGACATACAGATGTGCACGTGTTTCTTCCTCTTCTTTTTTCTCTAGCACTCCTCCTATTTCCTTTGGGTTTTAGACTTTTAGTCAACTTGGGATGCCAACTTAGTACTTACCAATATCTCGATTTGGATTGCAAGCTAAAATTAGGCTAATTAAGATAAAGAAATTCTTCGTGTGAGTAAATTAATTTAAAGCTGATGAGTTATGGGTCGTTTACAATTTCTCTTTCTTCTTTGTTCTTTTGGGGGCAGGGGGCATTTAGACGGCAAATTAGTAAATTTGACGGAAAGAAGATGATCAAGTTATAGTCATTAACGTATGCAGATTGATATGGAATAGATTAATCGCCGAAGACAAACGCAATTATAGTAGTTGTTAGTAATTTTTGCGTTCTTTATAACTAATCATAGTCGTAGCACGAGTCACCAAATTGCATAAGTCGGAAGAAAGAGCCGTTGTTAATGAACTTAATTATGTGGCTTTATATATATANAGAATGGCCCTTTTCTAAATTTGGTAATATTTTAGCTTAAACTTACAATTGTATCCTTAATGAGAAGATTTTATAACCACACAAATACCATGTGCCCCTTTTTGACTTGTTTAGGACCATAAATTTTAAAAAAAATTATTTTTTTCTTAAACTCTGTGTCCAGTCAAAGTTTACATAAATTGGAACGGATGGAGTATATAGCTTTGCATCATATAAATATCCACGTGTTTGTTCCTCTTCTTGCTCCTATTGGGCTTTAGTCAACTTGGGCACGCCAAGATCTCAATTTGGATTTATTAGGTTATTTAAGATCATAGATTTCTTCACGCCAGTCAATCTGAAGTTGATGAGTTGTGGGCCGTTTACAGTTTCTCTTTCCTCTTTAATTATTTTATTTTAACTTTTGTGGGGGTGGTTCGAGGAATACTTTTCTAGTTTCTAGTAAGAAGGAGGAATATTTAAGTGGCATTTCGGAGATTGATGTAATACCTCATATTTTTTCTTTTTGATAATAGAGAGCTGGTAATGCAAGGTATGATATTCGATAAATAATAGGTCTGCACGTTTTCCTTCTCTACTTAAAATATGTATTCCCTCCGTTTCAATTTACGTTGAACTCATTTGACTGGACACAAAATTTAAAAAGTAAAAGAAATTTTTTGAATTTGTGATATAAAATGAGGCACATATATTTTGTGTGGTTATAAATCATTGCATAAAAGTAAATTATTTCCAAATAAAAAAAAAGGTCATTCTTTTTTGTACGGACTAAAAAGGAAATAGGTTCATATAAATTAAAACGGAGGGAGTATTAGGCTTCTGCTTGTGTTAGAATTCAAACTTATAGTACTTGTCTAATCCAGACTATCAGTAATGCGTCCTTATTAGGGGTTGTTTAACCAAAAAATAAAATCTTTAGTCAAAGCTTATTTTTAGAATAACTCGGGTTACTGATAACCAACTAATTCTTTACTTCCTCAGTAATTCACTTAAAAGGAAATAAAGTTGATAAAAAGTAACTAAAAAGAAAAAATAATCGATTGCACTGAATAAGCAAGAGAAAGTGAATATATTTCGATAGTACTTAGAACGTGTCTTTACAGATGAGATTCTCCCCCGTTATATAGGAGTTTACAAATATAACGTTTTCTCTTATTTATGGTGGAATCATTATGAGCTTTAATGGCATTAATTATCTGTTATGATTGGTAATCGTAACTGTCTATGAAGATTTTGTAACGATTCTGATTCCCCTTCTTCATTAATTGTAGGTCCGTGAATCTTCCCTCTTTCCAGTCTTGATTCATTCTGCTCGTGCCTCTTCAACAATTGTTTTAGGTTCGAACGTTGATTCTCCATTATCTCGTGGGTGTTTGCCTCGTACCTCTTGCGCTTCATACATCTTTTAAATGAAATATGTCAGTTGTCATTTCCTTATTGTTCCATGTATCATGCTCTGTCAGTTAAATATAATTCCACGTGTATCATTTATTTACCACCAATACAGATAGTCCCCCCACTTACTGAATATTCTATAATTGAATATTCGGTAAGTGATATGTATTTATGGCGGGAATTCTTTGCCGCCGTTTCCCAAGCATCATTGTGCTTTATTAAGAATTAACGTGTTATATGCCACTTCCATTAAATGCATATGCCACGTGGCTTTTGATGATTGGTTCTGTGGCTTCTCAGCGTTTTTTAGGACTTTTCATACTTCTTAGGTTTTATGAAACCTTCATTCTACAATGTTCTTCTTCTTCATTCTTCATTCTTCCTTCTTTTTTCGACGCATATTCCTATGTTAATTCCTTATACAACCATGTCATCATCAACTCCTAACCCTCGCAAAGTCATAATTGTTGATAAACTTTCTCCTTCATCTGCTCATGTGAGAAGTAGAAGAGGAGGCAGACTTCGTAGTTTAGGTTCGCCTAGGGCTTCTTTAGCCCCTAGATCTTCTTCTAGAAATAGAAAATCGAGTGAATTTATATGTGAACCAACGGTTGATGAAATTATTCCACAAGAACTTTCTTTCTCATCTGATCGAGAAACCATAAGAAATCAAGTTTCTTCTTTAGCTTCTCACGATCGTGCCGATCTTTATCCTACTCAAATTACCACTGGTTTAATTTCTCTTGTTCGAAGAGACTGTAATTGAAAACCTGACTTTCCCGTTTTAGTTCCTGATCCAAACCAAAGAATAACCTCATATCAGGCTGGTTATTCCTTTATTTATACATATCCTTTCACTTTAGGATTTAGACCACTCATTGACCCAGCAATCAATGAATTCTGGCGCTTCTTTAATGTACGCCTGGGACAAATTGGTCATATTGTTTGGAAGGTTGTTGCATGCCTTCGTTACCTATCTAACTTGGCTTTCCTGCCTTTCATCTTTCATCATTTGCTTCATCTTTATTCCCTCAAATTATTTCATGAATGGGTGTTTTCACTTGTGGCTAGAAGCAAGAGGGTATTGGTTAGTCCCGAGAATGATAGAGACCGTGGCTGGTATGCTCGCTTTGTAGCTGCTCCCATAAGTGCTTTGGTGGGTGAAGAGAATATGCCCTTTCCAGAAAAGTGGAATTTTGCACGTAAGTGTTTTTCCTTTACCTTTTCTTTTCTTTCTTGAAACAAGAAACTTTTAATCTCGTGTCTACTTTTTCAGCAACCGTGAAAGTTTTTGAGGAGATTCCTAACTTCCGTGCTTGGGTAGAAAAGTTATTGTCAGTTGCACCTATGGAGAGAAAGTCTTGGAAGTACCTTTTTCAAAGGTTTGGTTGGAAAGTCAAAACACACGGTACCTTTTCTGTTCAATTTCTTGTTTTCTCTTGTGTTGGCTTAGAAGCTTCTTACCAAACTTTTCTCTTTTGTTAGGATTTCCTATTCGTCGTGTCAGTCCCGCGTCTATTTCTTCTACAAGACTTTCTGTATCTCTTGCTCAAGAGAGAATTTTGAGCTCTTCATCGACAAGAAAAGTTGATGGTTCCCGTGGCTCTGAGGGTGAAGAAGAACAGGAAGAGAGTTCTTTAGTGAGCAGGCCTCGGGTTAGGAGGTGCGTTATTTCCGATGATGAAGCTACCCCTCCTCCAAGTTCAATCCCTTCGAGACTTTTAGATAAGCCCGAAAGTGCTGCATTAGTGATTTCCGATGAAGAGATGAATATTCCTCCCTGTGATTCTGCTGATCAGTTGTTTACCCATGGTTTTGATAATGAAGCCTTTGGTCCCGTTTCTGAAGAGTTGCCTCTAGCCTCTCTTCCAGTGTCAGTCCCCGTTCATTCTCAAGTTCCCCTACCTGAAGTTGCTGCTACTGCTCCCACCGTGACTGCTTCCACCTTCTCTACTATTCCAATTACTACTACTTCTCATGCAGAAGTTGGACCTTCTAGTAGCAATAAAGCGATGAAAAAGATTATCATTGAGGTTCCTGAGAGTAAGAACTTGCTGAAAATATCTGGTCAAGTTGATGTATGGTTGAAACCTTTGCTTGGTCCAGTAGAGAAGGCAAAATTGGAGAGTCACGGCTCATTGACTTGGATGAATGATATTGTTCATTCATCTCTGAAGGTTCGAGCTTTAACTTTACTTCTTCTTTTTTCCTTGTTGTTTTCTTTTATTTAACCACAACTCCCTTCCTTTCTTTTGTAGATCAATTTGATAGGCACGGAGCTTATGAAAAGGATTGTTCATACCGAGCAACAAGTCATTGATTACCGTAACGAAGCTGATAACTGGAATGAGCAATTTGAGGGTCTTCAACTGGAGAAGGAAGTTTTGGCTGAAGAGAGGAATGCCTTGGAGCAACAAGCGAAGATGGTTGCGGCTGAGTTAGCAATTGAAAAGGCATCTCCAAGTCAAGTTGACAAAGAAAAGGATATCCTTGAGTCTTCATTCATTGAGCAGCTTTTGAAAGCCACTGAAGAGATAAGGGGTCTGAAGGAACTTCTTAACCAGAAAGAGACTTATGCCGGAGAGTTAGTGCAATCACTTACACAAACTTAAGAAGATCTCTGTGCCTCTTCTCATAAGATTAAG